GTGCGAAAACCGCGTTTTTGGAGACATTTTAGGCTTAAAGTTGAAAATGTAGACAAAAAATTTATATAGTAATATGGCAACATGGAGTTTCTCGCCAAAAATGTTTCGCAAGAAATTTGCTGACCTGAGTGCGCATATAAGAGTAGTTTCCATAATGATAATATATTAAAATTCTGTTTAAGAAATAACATTAAAATAAATCATTTTTATTTTCTGCCAAATACTTCCTATTCTTGTGATTTGCGAATATTTGATTCTGAAAAATAAGCAAAATAATAAATGCTATAGATATAAAGCGTAGATTCAGAAACACTTTTTAGGAAGGGGGGGGAGAACTAGAGCTGCTATTATTTTTAATTTCATTTAATTTGTCATCTTTTATATTTTTTCTTGATGAGTTCTTTCCCACGTAATTGTGTCAGCACATTTAAATGTATGTTATACAAAGTCCGAGATCCGGAATGATCTAAAATCCAGATCTCAAAGCCACCAACAACTTTTTTTGTATGCTTTATGTATGCGCATTTGATTTTCCCCCTCCCCCTGCGCATAATAAAACACATGGAGAGTCCCGATTCTTAATTTCACTTTGGCACTAAATAAAATACTTCATTATTGAAGAAAGAATCATTTTAGCCATAAATTTATATGATCGATATTTTGGCTGTGTTGCTGCGTATCTGCTTGGCATACATCTCAAACCGAAACATTCTACATAGATAACATCATTGATTTTACATACACTGATATTTTATATCCCTGACACTAACCTAGCTAATCATTATTTATTATATTTTTCTTTCGTCACCGCCAGTTTATCCATGCATGACAACTTCAGTAATGACTCGTGTAGTGATGGCTAAACAATTTTGTATGTTAGTAATTGAATAATAAAGAGTATGGTAACTGTTTATGTTGACATTACACTTGGCGATGATTACAGATTTAAGATAAATGTGCTAAGAAATGTTGATGAGGAAAAATTTAACAAAATTTTCTTTCTATACATTAAAAATAGATTTTCTAATGATACTCATAGGCCAAAAGATTAAATTTAATGCTATTTGAATTAAGAACAACTGATTTGTTATTCACCTAAACCCTGAACTAGCACCAGGGCTTGTATGGCCACACCAGATAGCAGAATTTAGGACATCAGGCAGTAAGTTATCTAGCACTGGCTTTCAATAAGCTTTAACCCTCTCAGCGTTACCGATGGATTATTCCGTATTGAAAGATGGCTTCCCAAATTGTTACAAATGGAATATTTTGTCAGCTCTTGATGGATCCGAAATTGTTTCAAATGATTTTTTCTGCCTTATATTTTAAACCTCGAAAACGTTGAGGACGGAATATTCTATACTGTCGTATCCCCGACCTGCTGTTGCGCTTAACTGGTAGTGGGGAAACAGCGATCGTTAGAGAAATATTTTACAGTGTGAGGGTCGTAAATAGAAACCTCAAATCGCCATATCCCCGAGGGCTATTTTCATGCCAAAACTGGAAAATACTGAAAAGCCTTCAACCGAAAGCTTTGTGTATGTCATATCCCCGACCTGCTGTTGCGCTTAACTGGTAGTGGGGAAACAGCGATCGTTAGAGAAATATTTTACAGTGTGAGGGTCGTAAATAGAAACCTCAAATCCAGCCATACCATCCGCTGACCTGAGGGCTATTTTCATGCCAAAACTGGAAAATACTGAAAAAGCCTTCAACCGAAAGCTTTGTGTATGTGAAAGCTTTGTGTATGTCGTATCCCCGACCTGCTGTTGCGCTTAACTGGTAGTGGGGAAACAGCGATCGTTAAAGAAATATTTTACAGTGTGAGGGTCGTAAATAGAAACCTCAAATCCAGCCATACCATCCGCTGACCTGAGGGCTATTTTCATGCCAAAACTGGAAAATACTGAAAAGCCTTCAACCGAAAGCTTTGTGTATGCGAAAAATTTGCGAAACAAAATTTCTTTTGCAAAAGTAAATGTAATTTGCACAAAACCCATGGATAACATTTAAAGAATTTAGCATCACCTAATTTACAAATTTCTTTTTAGCATTTAATAAATAGTTAAGCAGGTATTTTACAATGCCCGCAGAAATATGGAAATTTGAGATGATTTTTGTTTTTAGCTTTAAGCATTGATAAAAAAAACTGCATTTTTTAAACTACTATAACAGTTTGCAAATATAGTAACTGTAGTATGTATTTTAAATAATTGTTCTGAAATTAAAATGACATTTTTGAAAGAGTTCAAATCGTATAATTCAATTTTAAACTAAAGTGTCATTTATATGTTTGTATCAAAATTTGTCTAGTTCTAGGAATGTGAAGTTTGGGCATTTTATACACTGAAATATGAGGAAAAGAACTATAATATCGTAAGAGATTAAATCACTTTTTGGCATTGATAAAATAAAGTACTCAAAGTACATGAAATCATATGATGCATTTTTTACCCTAAGCAAAATACTTCTGGTTTAATAAAAAGTGTCCAAATGATATTTTATTATCAATATTTTACTGTTATGAAGATGTGCTTATTTCCAAATTTTGAAACGGTTGGGACATAAAATTCCCAGCAGGTAAGAGTAAATATTTATAGAAAATAATTGTTAGTAGAAGAAAAATGCAAAAAGCTTTCTATAAAATCATCATAATCTTTATACAAAGGTGGAAAAAATATGATAGTGATCTGAGTGATGCAAAAAATTTTGAAAAAGGGAACAAGAATTTTCGATTTTTTGGAACAAGATTTGAAATTACACAATTAGATGCCCAGGTGAAGATAAATAGACAACTTTAACTTTCATGGAAAACAATTTGTTATTTATGACTACAGTTAATTGATTAAGACAAAGAAGGGCTATCTGTGTATGGGGAGGAGATGCCTTCGTGGAGGAATTTTTAAAGGAAACTGGCTCCTATTCATGTTACACATGGAGAAAACTCAATTCCAGGTCAAACTACTAGTGTTCAGAGATGTTACTGCTTGGCCACTAGTGGGCGATATTTACAACTAAGGACTATTGTGCTATGTTAAATTAGTCACTGATTACCATTTTATTTTTAAAGTCATTAGTTAATACTTACGATTGGGGTTTTACTAAAAAAGCCAATATATGTATGTATACACTGCTGGCCACTGTAAATGCAACACCCTGAAGGAAGCATGCAAATAACATGACATTTTCAATATGCATTATCGGAGGTGAGATATGCAAATGATTAGAATTTCAGCGCAGACACACATCATGCGTGCATGTGGCATCACTTCAAAGCGCTATTTAAGGCTTGGAGTTTTTGACGATTTCAAGTTCAGCAATTGTGTTTTTCTCGTGGTTTTTTTTTTAAAAAAAAAACGGTCAATTATGCCTCGTAGTAAACAGCGATCATTGTTTGATCAAGTATCCGAGTTCGACAGAGGAAGGATAGTGGCCTACCAAGAGTGTAGATTATTTTCAGGGAAATCGGTAGTCGTGTTGGATGAAACCAAGCAACTGTAATGCGGATATGTGACCGTTGAATGCAGGAGGGTACGACAGACCGACGTGTTCGATCATATCCACCTTAATGCACCACTTCGCGTGATGACAGGTACATTGTGCACGTGGCAGTGACAGATCATTCAGTCACATCACGAACCATTGGATATCCAAACTATCCCTTGATGAGGAACTAAATTATTTAAAAGCAATAGCTATTGACAGAGACTTTTAACCCAACATTATCGACCAAGCAGTTAAAAAATTCTCATCTCAACACACTAAAAGGCACACTCTGGCTTTAGGAGATTATAAAAATTCTCTTGTCATTCCCTTCTTTCCATCAGTTAGCTATAAAGTTGCACATATTTTGCAGAAATTTAACTTTTGGGTCGTTTATTCTCCCATCAATAAAATTCCGAATTCCATACTCAAGGACCCCATTCCGGATATGAATTCCTGGGGTATTTATAGGATTCCTTGCCAGTATGGTTTAATTTACATTGGCCAAACTAAGAGAGCCTTAAAATTTCGCGTCAAGGAACATGAGGCATATGTTAGAAAAACGGAAACACAGAAGTCTTCTGTTGCTCAAAATTGTTGGTTCAAAAATCACACTTTCAATTTTTCTGCAGCCAAAATTATTCAAAAAACATCTTCCATTGGAGAACTGAATTTTCTAGAGGCATTTCACATTCAAAAAAATATTTCTGTTCTAGTTAACAATCCTAATTCCAATCCATCTTTCCCTTTGGCCTTTAAAGAAATTATGTTTTAGTTCAGGTTTTATCAATAGATGGCGCCACTTGCTTATTCTTGTCCAGGCTTTCTTATCTTATCTAATCATTATATCCTATCTCGTTCATTTGCAGCTGAGGATGGTGGTTCAGTAAAACCATCAAAACTAGTCCTGTGAAAATTTTGAAAATATAATGCTGATTTTTGTTGTTTGACTTCTGAATTAGTATAACTTAATGTTATGACATGATCAAACAGTAGAACAGTAAAATGGAATCAACAGAATTGTAGGCAAGCCAGGATATAATTTGGTTCCAGTGAGATGATGCAGTGGGAAGTACATACTATATGGCTGTAGTTGGACATTATTTCACAGGATATGTTAAGACCTGTCATGGAAACTTCTTGCGTCACCTCAAATAGTGCAATTGAGCAGGAGGACATTACTTTCAGTATTCACTGATGCCTATATTGTCTGTATTATACATTGTGGAACTGTTATTGTACCATAATCTACTATTACATCATAATCATGTAAAATTACTACAAGCATTGACCATTTTCCTGCTGTTTAAAGGTATATGCTGCACCATATACTATTTGCAAATTTCAAATGTTGCCAAAGACTTATGTGATGGTTGCTTTAAAAAGCTTTAACTAAAAATGTTCTTTTTTTGTTAAATTTAATATTGAATATTAATGAGTGATCTTACTTTTATTCAACATTACTTATTATATTAAATTTAATATGTAACTTAAAAATAATTTAAAAAATTTTGTAGATACATTTGCATGAAATACGTAACCTGAAGGAGATAAATCAGCGATTCCAAGATGATAATCAAGAACTGAGAGACTTGTGTTGCTTTTTGGATGATGACCGGCAGAAAGGACGTAAGCTAGCTAGGGAGTGGCAACGCTTTGGTCGTTACACGGCTAGTGTCATGAGACAGGAAGTTGCTGCATATCAAAATAAGCTACAAGAACTTGAAAATAAACAACAGGAACTTATTCGAGACAACCTAGAATTAAAGGTGATATTTTGATAATAATTTATAATAATGATGTATCATTAAGTATACAATGAAAGTAAAATATTTATATTTATTCATAAGATGTTTATCTGTTGAATAAATGGAGTGTCAAATATGCTTGTAAAATCTGTATACCTTCATTTCATAGTTTACCATTTTTTTATGGCTCATTGTCCCTTTTTCAAATTTTATTTTGCTCAATATGTCTTTTGATGTTGTTCAACATTCCCTTACTCTTACACCAATAATATATCACAGTGGTCTCAAACTGAAATGCATGATCTGAAAGCAATTGGTAGGCTGAAGATGTTTTAAGAAAACAAATTTTTAACCTAATTTTACTCATTAAATATTTATCAAAGCATATATAAATGGCAATAATAATCATGCAAAGGAAAAAATTCAAATTGTAAATTCAAATGTGTTGATAGTTCAATATTAAATTTTCATGTTGACATTTATTTCAAATGATTCTGATATGTTGAATTAACCATTAAATAGTTTAATTAAACAAACTATTAAAACTTTCCAAGTGGGACAAAACTTGAGAATAAATAATGACAATTAATTAGCACCATTCATAGATTTTCTGGGGCATTACTCACGCTCCTTTTTGATGCAAATGAAAATAATGTAAAACTGGATTCAGAATCATTAAAATCTTATGCCTTTCTTCAAAGTCTTGCCATAATAAATATTTTATAATAATGCTAATTAATTTATAGGAAATATATTCTCAGGCTGCAAAATGCTTCAATTTGAGACCACTGATATACAGTACAAGTCCAGAAATCCGCAGAGCTTTGGACCAGAGGTTGTGCAGATTTTAGGATTTTGCAGATTATAGGACAGAAAAGATAAATCATAATATTCAGACTAAAAGTGCAAAATAAATAAGGCAATAAACATTATTGCTAATATTAATGCTTTAAATTATTTTACATATATAAATTGTTAATTATTATTATTATATGTACACAGCATCGAGGTTGCGATTTCCTATGCAAGATTCCATGTTCGAATCATGTTGCTGTAAAATTCAACGCTTATCTTTATTTTTTCCGTATATCATACACAATCGTGTCGCAATTATAACGATTCTGCTATAAAACGAGGAGAGCATGCTTCTTCTTTTGGAGAATTTCCACTTTTGCATTACCATCAATGCAACATGTTTCGTTTTTAACGTTGCAAGCAGCAAAATCATGAGTGCATTCTTATCTGTAATTGTGTTAAAAAGGGCTGAAATTTAAAATATTCTTAATTTATCCACAAAATATTTGGATAAAAAAAGAAGGCAGCACCAAATAATATCGTGAAATAACAAAGCTTAGAAAATACAACAATGTGAATTGTGAACTTGAAAGAAGAGTTGAGTGAATCATCTGCTTTTTTACCTCGATGCAGATTAGAAGGGGGGGGAACTTTTATCATGATGTCAATAATTTGGTATTTCCATTATGACTCATTATTATTTGGTAATTATGACGTCATTATCCAGTAAGTATTTTTTCTTCGATATTTCATACTCAATGTTGCGGTTTCTGCAACCTATAAACTGAATGTTTATATTTTGAGAGGCAATGCGGATTTCAGGAGTTGGCGAATTTTCGGTATTTGACTGTATTAGATATCCCTTGAATGTAATTATAACCATTAACTGAACACTGATAAAAACTTTAGGTTATTATTGTACTTGCATTACGTTGAACTGTTACTTAAATCTTGTCATGCAGCAAGGAGACAGAATCGTAATCATCCTTAACACAGTCTCTGCAGGTTATGAGGTAATTTGCAGTAGCATTTTAGCCTTTGATGGCTGCTACAATTTTTTGCCTCTCTAGAATTTTTTTCTCTCTCTTTTTGCCTCTAAAGAGCGGCAACTGTCAAGTCAATATTGTCAACTCCGAATGTGGCATCTGGAGTCAGAATCTGTATATGTTCGGTGGCAGTGAACATTTTAACCAGACTAATCCTTCGTTAATCCAACAGCAGTCCCAGGGTTCGTAGCGGTCTTTATAAGTGCTTATAAGTCCTTATATTTGAAAATAAAATATAAAGGCCCTTATAGGTGCTTACTTTTTCTTTAAAGCCCTTATTTTTTGTTTTTAGTGCTTATTTTTTGCTTTTAGTGCTTTTTTTTTAATGAACGCGCTATTTTCCCCGTACCAAAGCCGAAACTAAATAAACAACTTTTCTTCCTAATATGGAATGTCAGATGGTGAATCATACTCCTGGCCCGGAAATAGCTTTTCCCCCTTTCTCTGCATTAACATAACCTTTGGTGTGCACGAAGAGTACAGACAGGTGCCCGTCGTTCTATTGGTCAAAGAATTGCGAAAGCAGTAGAAAATTCCGGTACATTCGGCATTCTTTTCCTTCCACCCAAATACTACACACGTTTGAATTTCTATCAAGATCTTAATAATTTGCATTCTCGTTCCGCTTGGTCAGTTCATATTCGTGTTTATTATGATCATTATGCTTATATTATGAGCATATGTATGAATGTTTATAATAACATAGTTGCAGTAACTGCTGAAGTATAGTAAACTTCCAAAAATGGTTGTGTTTTGACACAGATTAGCTTTCTAAGGAATAATATTCGGAATGGCTTAAATAAAGGGAAAGTAATCGAATAGTCAAAATAATTTCATTTTTTTGGCCAATACATTATACAGTACGAAGATTGGGAGGTTCTCCCCTTTCTCCGCAAAATCTCGAATATTGAAACTGTTACAGTTCGCTGCAAAACAAGCAAAAGGACTTTTTTTTTTTTTTTTTTTTTTTTTTTGTCACTTTCCAATCTGGATTGAATAGGACTAAAAGTTCTGCGGTCTACCAACCCAAGCGAAGAATGATTCTATTCCGGAAATTTAACGCCGTCTGTTGAAAATTAGAATGAAAAACACCCCAGTTATTTATTTTCTCAATACCGGCAGCTGTTTATTCCGATTGCGTAATATCACGTAGGGAAGAATTACGGCGCACGTATTGCGCAATAACGTTTGCGATATTTTGCAGAGGTAATTAATTTTGATGTTCTGTCCGAGATTTGTTTATGAACACTTAAAAGAGTTTTACTGTGCTTGCTAAGCAGAATATTTTTCAGTTCCATTGGTTTATTTTTATATGATGCACATATCGAAATGTCAAAAGCATTTATTTAGCGGAAAAATCTAAAGAGCGGCAACTGTCTACCCCCTCCGCTCCTCTTTTTCAAGTTACGATCGACTGTCCGAATATTCGCCAATTTCCAAGTATGCGTGTTAGTTAAGCTTTTACTGTTAAAGGATGACTGCATGAAGCAAATTTCTGTCTTCTGATTTCAGAAATGTTCCTCTTTTTTACTTAAATTACTTTGCTTGCAATATCTGTTAAGGGAAAACTGATATACAATGAAAATTTAGAAAATGTTCAGAATTTAGTTTTAAATTATTTAAATATCAATATGAGTAGAAAAATAAATTGTATTTTTTATTAAGTTCCAAGCGAATACAATAAATATGCCTTATTATTATTTATTTTCTCTATTTTGAACTGAAATTTCATCATTAAATCTTGTGATATAGTTTAGTACTGCACGGTTTTTTTTTTTTTTTTTTTTTTTTTTTTTTTTTTTTTTTTCCCCTCTCATTGTAAACTAGTTCTGTAAATTGAACTTTTATTTAAAACTTAAAAAAAAAGAAAAAAAAAAGAAAGAAAGAAAAGAAAAAAAGAAAAGGTAATTATTTTCTCCATGGTTAAGGTAATGCTTATTCTCTCTTAATAAATACTGCATTTCTCATATTTTAAATTAGAAGTCTAATTTTTAAGGTTATGCAGTTGTGTATAATGTAATTATACAGGTGCTTATTTTTTCTTAAAATGTGCTTGAAAAGTGCTTATAGGTGCTTATTTTTTTAACTAAAATGTGGCTATGAACCCTGAGTCCAAAAGAGACAGAAAAGAGGAATAATGCATGTTATAATAAACAGAAAAATATTTGTAATGCCATTCCATCTTCTAGCCACCTCATGGAACATGCTTCTTCATATTTTTAAATGTTTACACATACAAAACTACACAGTAGATTATTAAAACTACAGTACTAATAACTGAAATATGTACATTAATTAATACAAGTTAATTTTGTGTTCATTAACAGCTCCCATGAGCCTTCCCCTTTTATGACCTCTCCCTCCTAGAAAACCAGATTCAGAATTAGTGCCCTCTATGCATCTTGTTAGTTGACATTACCGATACAAAATTATCAGTAATTTCCCTGCATTTCATAAGTTTAAACTATGCTTTAATCTATGAATTTAATCTTGAAACTTCTATGGCTTGGCAAGAAATCAGAATTGGTACATTTAAGACTTAGCAAGAAATAATTACTGCATGCACAAGCAGGGTCTGCAGTAAACAGTTTATTTACTGAACACATACAGAAGTAATTTAATATAAGTTAGTTATAGAAATAAACATTAGGCACATTTGAATGCTTTTTTCTGGTGATGTTACTATTTGGAAGTACCAAACTGTGCACATAAAGAAATTGCAGTTTGTCTATAACTGCTACACACAATTGTTTGAGAACTTAATTGATTAAAGCCATACCAAACATTTCCACTGCCATATTGGCTTATTTCTTCCCTCATCATATTTAGTTACTAGACTAGCCACCCCACATATCTGGGGGAGAGGAAAAAAAGAAAAAAGTTTTGGTTTTCCTTTTTTTTAAATAAAATATCTAAAGGTACTTTTTTCCCTCTCGACATCCTCTTCCAAAAAGAAGAGTTTTGAATTTAAAGTACATACAGACAAAAAGGTATATAATATTTATCACTTTTTAAATGATAAAATAAGCAAAACTGAAACCAAAGATAGCATTAATTAGTAAACTGTGCATCAAAAAAGAATCATATAAAATTAAGCAACAGGCATAAAATAAAAAATGACAGCGTATCATAGTAGAGAATATTTTTCCTTTGAAATGCATATGATGCCATGTGAATTCAATTAAATAAGAGATTTAATGTTGGCTTGCAGTGCCTTTTTTATATTTATCATGTTATTTTGCACTACCTCACAAGTTCTTAAACAGTTGAGCATGACATCTGGTGTCTAGATCAGTAAACTGATATGAATGATTTACTGTGAAATATTCCAATTCTCAAATAATAAAATCTATTACAGGAAATTAAATAAGTAAATGAATAATAATAAAATAAAAAAATCTGAAACCTTTCAGATTTTATATTATGCCAAAGGGACATTTTTCTCATTTACACATACATGCACATTTTGAGAGCCTTTGGGCTAGTGCCACTTAGGGCTAAAAATAATTAAAAAGAGAATATATTTAGAATTTCCGATAGCTTCATGAACTGTAGATAAAAAGTATTTTATTCCGTAGAGTGTGTTGCCTCTGCTCGCTTTGAAATTGTTGAGTTTCTTAATCAAAAATTCTTTAAAATTTTAAAAACATGAAATAGATAATAAAACAAATTCAAGATTTGGGCTTCCAAGTGCTCATATACAGAAGGAAAACTACATTATTTAAAATTTGGTCATAAATTAGGTATCATTATTTTTTCACAATGCAAGAAATATACATTCATGTAAATTCTTCATTATTTAATTTCTTTAAATGTAATATAGAGCGATAATATTTAGTGGCAACAGTTGAAAAGTTAGACAGTTGTATTGTGATTCAGTGCAAAACCGAAAAAAAGACAACTACAATTAGATGAAAAACATGGTTGCTTAAAGTGATGGTTATAAAGACAGTCATCAACGGATAAAAAGCCAAACCAACTGGTGATACCTGGTGCCAAAGAAATGTGCGGAAAAGTTTTGAGTGGTATGATTAATGGAAAGAATCTAATCTTTTCTGAAATTGTGATCACTGCTATTTATTTTTTCATAAGTATTTTATTACATAATTTTGAGGTGCTTTTTCATCATTTGTTTATGTATCATAATTGCAAAGGAATTGTGCCTTTACTTGGATGATGAGAGAAACAGAGGGACTTGCAGTCAATGCGGTGGACCTTTAAGTGGTCATCGTGATGATGGAGATGGCAGCAGTTCTTCTACAAACAATGAAGAACTTGGTCTACTGGCTCCAGTTCAATCATCATTTTCCACACACCGTATAACTCAGAGCATAGATGATTCTATACAAAGACACAGATCTGTCATCAATGGTTTGTAGTATTTCTTTTTTTTTTTTTTTTTTTTTTTTTTCGTGTAAGGTATTGACCTTTTATGCTTATGTATTATTTTTAAAATGATTAATTTTCATCATAATAAAATGTTTGGTGTTTTTCAATATTTATTTCTTAATAATATCACACATAAAGCATCTTTTGTGTCAGTATTATCATATTGCATAAAACATTTCATATTTGATGAGATTTATTAATTTTCATCATGCATAAAGTATGTCTTTTTATCATAGTGAATTAAGCATATTTTGGGAAGAGGCTAAGAACAGCTGAAGGTTTCTGAGGTTTACTCATTTTTTATCATAATGCATAAAGCATCTCTTTTTTTAATAATAATATTTGAATTATCTAAAATTTTTCATTTTTATCATAATTCATAAAGCATCATTTTTTCGATAATAGTATTTGAAGTATCCCAAGATTTATTAGTTTTAATCATAATTCATCTCTTTTTCATAATATTGAAAGTTTTTCAAGATTTATTCATTTTTATCACAATGTGATGATAGAAGAGGAGATGCATTAAACATCCCTTTTGATAAAAATGTTTGAATCTTCTTGAGATTTATTCATTAGTATCATAATGCATTTGTCTGAAGTAATTACAGAGACCTGAAAAGGTTTAGACAACCTTTTTATTAAAACAGAACTTTGAACATAAATGCACTTCTTGTGCTAACAGAATCCAACTATCACTTGTGGCAATGTAACTTTTGGAATGTGAGATACATTTTCCAATTTATGAATTGGTTAATATTTATAAATATATTGTTTATTTGAATTAAATAATATATTTCTAAATACTAATCGAGTCATAAATTGAAAATTTTATCTCGCATTCCAAAGTGGAAAATTTGGACGTGATATTTTAAGGCAACCTCTACATCTAAGGCAATTTCTCACAGTGCTTAATTTCTGCCATCGTTGTATATGAAATGCAGCTGAGATGTAAGCGTGTTTCTATAATTTGGTGATGGGGAAAAAAAGTATTCAACACTTGCAAGCAATTATTAGCCAATGCTACTACAGAGGCTGTTCACACATTTTTTAGACGATGTATATTGTATTCACAAAACTAAATTACATAAAATTCTTGTGTTTTAAATGTTCTATTTGACATCCCTTATTCTGAACTATCTTTCGACATTGCAATTTCCAGGATAATAATGCCTTTTGAAGAGGCAGAAGAGGTATTCTATCCCATTCTTCCCGAACAGCTTTCCAGAGTCCTGTTAGGGTTTTGGGACAACGTTTGGATAATGCAGTTTTTAAAAGTCCGAAAACACAAAAATCCATAGGTGACACATCGGGAGATTTAGTAGGGATATCAGTGAAGGGTATGGCCTTGATACCAGTTTTTTGTTCCATTTCTTGTAGGAAATTTACAGTAGATTTTGATGTGTGACTGCTAGCTTTGTCCTGATGCAGTCTCACAGATTGATGGCACTGTGGGTAAAGCGATGGTGTTATATTCAGAAAAATCTGCGATAAAATATGTTCCTGATAGTATTTGGAGTTAATCTTGACATTTTTTTGCACTCTCTTTATTTTTAACTTGCCATTATAAGAAAAACCAGCAACAATCATGAATCCCTTAGAAAAACTTTCTTTCGATTCTTTGAACCACGTACTTAAATTTTTTTCTCCCTTTTATGATAATAAATGGCTCTTTTTTTGTTCCATTTTTCTTTGGATAAGTGTTTTTCTCATAGAATTCTGCAGCATGTCTTGCATTGAGAGATATGCTTTGGAAGAAGACGATGCACATTGCGTTTTTTCGCTTTCTTAAGATTTAAATCAACGTTTATCATTTTGTTTACAGTGGACACCGAGCATTTTAATGATTTTGCAACTGTCCTTTGACTAGGAGGATTTTTCTTTTAACATTAAACAATGTACCTTTGCAATAGTCGAAGATGCCCGTTTTTTCCTTGGATACTTGTTTGGAATTTTTGTTCCACTTGAAGCTCCAATTTGACGTTTCTTTCCTCATTTCCTTATTTCAAGACTATATATTTCTATAACTTTCTCTTGGAGAAGTATGAAAATACATAATAAATTTTTAAAAAGTAAGCTAATTATTTCCATTCTTATGTGCATTTGCTGATGAAACAGTATAGGATGTATCAATATCCCCAAAAACCCATTATCGATTTTTATCATGTAAAGTTTGGAATATTCGTTGGGCATAAGTGTACAGGGCATAGCTGTGCAAAATTAGTTGACTTAACAGCTGTAAAAGCTTAATAGCTGGTGTCTCAAATCACAAGAAATCCGTGTCAAGAATGATTTACATTTTTGCCCCATTTTGTAGAATTGCTATATATAGCTTATTTCAATTACGTAAGAAACATTTTCTCAATATTTAATTGGGTTATGTATAAATTCATGATAGAATATTATGATGGTAATTGAGATAAATTGACATTTCAGCTCAGGTTTTGCAGTATATCAGGAATTTAGAAAGAAAGATTCAAGAATTAGAAGATGAAAAACATAATTTTAGTCAAATGGTAAGCTTGCAATTTTTATGTATGAAATGAAGAAATTAAATCAAAAAAGTTATCTTTACAAATTTTTGTAAAAATGTTACTGCATTTATTATAAATTAATTAAACAATCAAAGCTGTCAGTGCTTTACCTTCTAACTTTTTTTTTTTTTTTTTCTAGTTTACTAAATCATTATTTTGTGAGTTAATTGCTAAATAGGGACTATTTCTGCAGAACTGAAAATTTTTATTCTATAATTTAAGTGTATCATGGTAGTTAATATTTCTTGTGATGATAACAATATGAACAAATTTTGTTTTAAAAGTTTCATTCTGTGCTTTAGAGAGTTACATCACTTATTCTTCAAATTAACCAAATTATTTTCATCTTTCATTGTCCATATTTGAGGTAACATTATGCTTACTTCTATTAGTATTTTATTGATCCTTCAGGCAAAATCTTTCAAAGTGTGATACAGATTTATCGAATAGTTGCCCTATTTGGTAAAGTGATATCACTGGGTCTGGATTCATTCCCAGAAGAGGCATAGACGTTTATAGTTGTCTATTATTCCCTTGTTTAGTGGGTCATTATATTGCTCTACCCCATGCAGTGCTCATTGGCAATTCTATCAGTGGTGTGATGGCTAAACAATCAATAGGCTTGCCCAGTGCTTAATGAGGAAGTGTCCAGCCATTCAAGAGCTTGGACTTTGGGAAAACTTGCAAGAAATATTTGGTTTGGAAAGGAATGCCTTTGTGTAGAACCTTCTGAGGAAAATTTGCTCATATCAGGGTTGCCATGCTACTGGGAAAACCGGAAAAAGTCAGGGAATTCAAAAATTGATACAAAAAATGTCAGAGAAAAGTCTGGGAATTTAAATATTTTAGTCAAAATCTGGAAAAGTCAAGGAATTTCGCACGACGATCCTAAAAAAAAAACCGAGTTTTGCGCAGATGTTGGAAGCGATTACTTTCTTCGTGAATTATGTATCGCTTGAGCGTCATTTGGGCAGCTGGCATAGAGCCAATTTTTGCAGCTCCAATCAAATTGTCTTTTAGAAAGGCAAAGTAAGTTTCCAGCAACTTTGGTTTCTAGTAGCCTCAAGAATCTAGAGACTGGCATGTGCATGTGCATGTTGAACTAGAATAAAATACCTTCCCATTCTTTTATAAAACAAAATCGGTTTAATTCTAGTATACGGTACTATGGAGGATAGAATAGCCTCCATGTATTCTATTCTAACTTCCATCTACGATATACACGGGATTTGGTGACATTATGATGAGGAAACGAATCATTTTTGTGTTGGCGACAATTTTCAAAATCGTGCCGAGGCTGTAGCATATACTAGGATTTTGACACAAAAATATTTTAAACCTTTTTTTTTTTTTTTTTTTTTAATGAATGCCTTATTTGTCATTTTTCAGTAAAATAAAAAAAATAGTAATCAGTCATCTAGGCTAACCATTTATTATAACTATATTTGCCAAAATATCGTTGATTATTGTAATTCTGTTTTTAAGTAATTAATTTTTTTTAATGTTATTCATATCATTGAATGTTGTTTCTTCTCTCTAAATTTATTTTTAGTAAATAATACTTTCAAATTTCAGGAAATTTTCTCCGGCATAATCCTGAAACTAATTCTAGTAGTATGATGACATACAATCACAAAATTTAATGCGCATATTTTTTGCTTGTGTATGCTGCTAAATAAATACAAAATACCTGAATTTATTTAAAAACATCATTAAATAGATTTTTTTTTTCCCTTTCATTTATAGCTGCAAAATGTTTGCAAAAAAAATACATTTTTAAAACCAGATTGGGCAAATTCTAATCTCGATCTTCAGTGGAGAAAACAACTCTTATTATAGTTATAATAATGTTGTTTTGGGGATTATATATATGTATATAAATCATATGTAATTGGCAAATTGTTGTGTTTTCAAGTGGTACCATAATTAATTTACCTCTTAGCACAGCCAACGCACACTACGCAGATAGAACAAGAATTTTCTTAAAACACAGCTGGAAAACCAGGAAAAGTCAAGGAATTTCATACTTCTGTTTAAGTGGCAACCCTGTCATATTCATGTTAAATATGTATAAAACAATAAAAACTCGAAGTAGCAAGGGTTCATCTGCCAGAATTTGAACAGAGGTCTAACTACCAGTGTTAAACAGTTTTGCCGCTCACCTGCCAGTTTGTGCTGGCCATCAGGGTAAAAAAGATTTTAAGAAAATCATAATTTTGTTAAACAGAGTTTTATGTCATTTAGCATATCAGGAGCAGACAAAAATAAGTGTTCTTTATTGCTGCTTTAAACTGATTGAGATTTTTATGTGCGTAATTTCAACTTTTCATGTATGTGCAGCTATGTCCCCCCCAAATAAAACTTTTATTTGTTTATTTATGAGTATATATTTGCAAAATTAAGTATAAAGTTTTTTGTAATTGTCGGCTAATGTATATTGTTTGTTATTTATTTTCAAGAATTTACATTTAGTTTTTCTTGTTTTTTTAATTAGAAAAATAAAATGGAGCACAATTTTTATGGTAAAAGTTCATGGACAGATTCAAATTCAAATCATCAGGTATATTGGAATATTTGTAATTCAGTATATATATATTAATTTTTAGATCTCCTGCAGTTTTAAAAATAATTAAAAATTTTGCTTCTTTTCTTAATTCTGTTTTTTAGAAATATTTTTGTCTGTGAATATTAGCAATATTTAATGAATATTTACTACATAAAATATATTAACAACTGCTTTTTTTTTTTTTTTTTTTAAGATAACTAATGACAATTTAACTCTATCAAAACCTGAAGCTGTTGTTCATGCTATGAAGGTAATTATATTTTAATTATTTTTACAATTACGATCCCTCACAATTTATATTATTAGTATTAATGATTAATTTTATGATTAATTAATGTTGTATTTGCTGTACTTTTATTTTTTCATATGTTTAAATTTTAATCTAGATGTGAAACATTAGCATGTAAATTAAAAACATGCTTTCAAAATATGTTAGTTATTTAAAAAAAAAAATAGTTCATTTTTCCTTCCTTTAAACTGAAAAAAATGCAGGCTCTCTTTATTCATATTACAATTCTGTTCATTTTAATTTAAAAGAAGTCTGAAAATATATACAAGGATTTGTTAATGGTATCATTTGGCATCTGCTGCATTTAATTATTTTGTAGTACCAAGACAATAAAAATGGGAGGGGGGAGTTTCGGATTATGAACTTTTGAACTGTGGATATTTTTAGCAATGGGGCTTAGACTATTTTGCAGTATTTGACAAGAACTCAACAGACTGGATATGGCACCTAGCATTTGAATTGATGAAATGATAAGATTGATTTACAGTAAAATATTCTAAGTCCCAGATAATGATATACAGTGCAGCACAAAAGAATACCCTTGATATTTTTTCTGTTGCAATGTATATCATTTTAGTTAGTTGAAAAACATTGTTGTGTGATCAGTGGTTATAAAGATAGTTATTAGCAGGAAAGTAGTCAAATCAAATTGATAATGCCAAGCGCAGAGAAAATATACCCCCTTCCCAAAAAAAAAAAAAAAGCCTTTGAGTGAGAGAGAACTGTAATTTTAAACAAGGACAGAATATATGCCCAAAAATAATGATTTGTCTAAAATGTAAAATTTTTAAAGATTCAGAAAGGAAGAACGCCCACTCACACACAGAAAATGCGAAATAACTTCAGTATTTAAAAAAGATCTTTTTTTAAAACAAAAGTTATAAATAATTTTTGAAAAAAAGTTTACTTGTATTAAAAGAACTGTCATTAATTTTTCTAAAAATCAAAATTTTGTTTGTACGCATCCACAAATGAATTTGGATTATCACAATTCCTCTGCATTTATATTGGTTCATTATAATATAATTAGTTACAGTAGCAACAAATATTTATGAAGCATATATGTTAACAAATTTTATGTATGTAAAAATCTGTCAAAATTTTCTTTTTACAAATGTGTTATAGACAGTTTTTGCCATTTTATTTGGTAGGTACTAGAAGTTCATGAACAAATGGAGAAAAGTTTGGAAAGTGATTTGGAATCTGAAGAATTGGCAGAAGGTGAAAAAGCATTGGTTCGTGAAATGTGCAATGTAAGTTCTGAAAAATTTTTGTAGCACTTTGCAATCATTCCAATCTATGATTTTCTGCCAATGTTTTGGTAGATTTTCAAAGCTTTCAACCCAGAAACTTGGTGGCTGCATGTCCAAAAAAAGAGATCAACCTCATTTCGGATATCCTGTGCAGAATGGAAGATAGCACCAGCAAGATGCAACTGCAGGTGTGAAAGAAGGTAGAAGTCTGAAGGAGCGATGTTGGGGCTGTGTAGTGAGTCTGGCAAAAGATCTCATTCAGGTTCGTACAGAGTCCATCCGGTGAATGCAGACACATGTGGTCTTGTATTATCTTGATGGAGCATTACCTTTTTGCACCGAAACTCAGTTCGAATTTTTTCCTTGATAGCAACATCAACACGGACTAGCATCTCGCGGTAAACCTTACTGTTGAGGGTTTTACCTTTTTCCAGATAATCTTTGTGGATAATACCATGGCAGTTCCATGAGATACAAAGCATCATCTTTTCTGTTACTCAAATTGTGCTTTGTTATGCTGTCGATGGGCTTACAGGGCACAGACCAATCCCTTTTATGGCCTGTATTGTTGAAGTAAATCCACTTTTCATCACAAGTGATGATCTGGTCCAGAATTTTGTCCTTCCATTGTATTTGAGAAGATTAGTGCTTGCCCGAACATGCCTGCCCTTATCTACTTGAATCAGCTCATGCGGCACCTAGCGATTGAACTTGTGCATCATGTTTATGCGCACGATTAAGGCACATGGCACTAACTTCTAACTCCTTCACAAGCTCTTGTGTGGCTGCTTACTGGCCTCCCTCCATGAGTCCTCAAAGGTGGCCCTCATCAACATCAGTAGGCCGGCCAGAGCACTTTGTTTCTTGAATGTCATAGTCCTTGTTTCTGAACTTTTGGTACCAAACCTTCACAGTGTCATATGATACAATATTTGTACCTAAAGCTGTACACATGATTTGATGACATTCTGTAGTTGACTTTTTGCAACAGAACTTACAGTAATTGAGGATTCTAATGTGGTAGCATGATAGTTTCATTTCAGACACCTTGTACTTAATGGTAACGATATTTTGTTACAAATTTTATAACACAATATTCTAAAGTAAGTATCTTTCTTTCAAATGCCAAAAATTATTTGACAAAATATGATTAAACAAGCCAAAGTGAACTGTTTGCACAGACGATAGTTGCAGTGACGAAAAACTTTCGTTAAAACCCAATATTTTCCTGATTACAAAAATTTTACATGGAAGATAGAATTGTGAATTTTTTTCATTATGTAGTGCTGTTGTTATAATTTTTATAACCATGCAGTAGATAATGTTGCTGTGGTTTTAAGTGAGGAACAGTTAGTAACAAAATGGCATCGATGAAAGAAAAAGCAAAGTATTTTTTCTGATATCATGAAATCAAATTACCTATCAGTAGCAAGTTTGAAGTTTGTATGGATTCATTCTCCAGATATTAAGAGCAGCAGGAATTATTATGAAAAGTTTACAGAAAGTAGGCCCATTGTGAGTAATGAGATTTTTTAACAAGGCCAGCATAGCATAGCTGTGTCAAGTGTTGCAGAGCAAGCAGACATTAAAGAACAAGTGACAAGAACTGGAATATTTACTTGACATTCTCTGAACTACAGAGGAAGCACAGAATAAAATTTACTAACATAGTGCTTTATAAATTCAATTAATGTAATTACCAGTTCTGGGAAAATGTCTAATTATTATAATTTCAACAAGGTGAGTTTTTGTAATCGGAAAAGGACTTTATGCTCATCCAGCATGTCTTTATTTACCCCTTAACGATTGGATCTTTTTCAAGAAAACAGTCATCAAAGTTCCTATTTTTGTTAATTGAAGAAAATTGCATAGATATATGTGTATGTACAATATATGCATTCATTTTCAATTTCTGGATTATTATTATTATTATTTTTTTTTTTTTTTTTTTTTTTTTTTTTTTTAGCTTGAAATGTTTAAAATATAATTTTTTAGGAAAAGCCAACATTCAGGCTTATTTTGACTGAATGTTGATTTTCCAGTAAGCCAGGAAAATTTCAAAAATATGTGTTTTAAACATTAAAAGAGAATTTTATTAAGCTTATGCATAGTGTAAACAAAGCTTAGTAATTTTTTCTTGTGTGATAAATTTCAAAGAATGAGATGCAAAGGCCAACGTCACAATCTGGAGAGTAGTAGAGTTTCCTTCCTACATCTCTTATTGTTGTTTTCATTGCATTCTCTTGATGGATGCCATTTTTCGTCTGTCTAATAAAATGTCTTTCAATCAAACGGTTTGGATTATCCTCTAAGCTTGGCCGGCCTCTTTTTGAAATGGTGTCAATAACTTCATCTACTAAAGATAAACGAAACATCAAATGGGATTTTTTTTCCACCCTGTTTTTTGTAAATAAGATATGAGTTCAAAATAGTTTGGTCTAACAAATGAAAAAATATTTTCTTATTTCTTTTCTCTTTTTCGAGCAATAAAGTAATCTCCAAGATACTGGTCTACAATATCTACTGCTCCCATATTTTTATTGTAATCTGTGACAATTGTAGGTTTCTTGACAATTTTGTTATGATACTGTACATCTACCGTGTCATTTGTGTGAACTGTAGATAGCATGGTAACATCTTTCTTATCTTTCCACTTCATGGCAAGAACTTTACCTTGACGAAAAGCAACATTTTCACCTTTTGCAATTCTCTTTTTTACTAATTTTTCAGACTTTTTTTTTTTTTTTTTTTTTTTTTTTTTCCGGTTAGTTTTACAATTCCATAAGTGTCTTTTTGAAATTTTAAAAGCATGTCTTCCAATTGTGGTGAGCTATAAAAATAATAATATAAAATATAAAACATATATATATATGATATATATATGTGATAATACACATATGATATATATATATGTGATAACATAAAACACATAGCATAAATACATGTTTGACTAGTGCTGACATCTAGTTTAAAATAAAATAACTATCTTTAATTGCATAAAATATAATTCTGTATTGCCATCTGGTGTGTAAAATGAGAAATAAAACTTCCAGGCAAAAGAAATGAATAAGTTTTAATCCTTTTAGCATGTTGCTTTTGAACTCTCCAGTGCAGAAAAACCGTGGGCACTAGAAATAGAGGGCGAAACCTCACCCCGCCATTTTGAAGCAAGAAGGAAATGAAGACAAACTGATTATTTTGCTTTGTAATATTTAGCACCTGTGGTACTATTATCCTTGTTTTAGCAGAGGCTTGATAAGTGACATCACAACTTGAATTGATTGGGGCAGATCTTTATATTTTGCATCAAAAACCGTACCTTTTCCAGTATATATAATTTGTGACCATATATACCCTGAACTTGATTCACATAACAAATACGATTTTACTCCAAAATGGGATCTCTTTTTCGGCATATATTGTCGCCATCCTAAACGACCTTTGAAAAGCATGAGGGTTTCATCAATTACAATATGACATCCAGGAGTTACAGCTTTGAAGCAATTCATTAAGGTGCTGTAACACTGGCAAGATTTTATGCAGCTTGGGATTTGGATGTGTGTTACAATCAAAATCTTCATTATCTACAAAATGTAGAAACTTGTGTATTTCGTAAAATCTATTACAAGGCATTATGCTTCTGAAAAAAAGGTGTTGAAATTGAATGTTTTTTGCTCCAATACATTTTTGTATCTGGTTTTTTTATAATACCTTGTAAAATAACTATACTGAGGAATTTAAGAATTTCTGCCTTTGTGACAGGTAGCTAAGATTTTCTGTTTTTGGATAGGCGGAATCCTGGAGAATTTTGGCATTGTTCGGCATATCTATTTGTTTCCAAAACGATGAGATCCACTAAATTGTCATTGACAAAATACTTAAAATATTGTAAGACACCAGAACTTGGATCAAAATTTATATTTACCTTTGGTGTTCTGCAAAATTTAAAACGTCGGGGTGCATGATCTGCTGAAGTAGACACAATTTTAGTCCATGCTCGTCCAGGCAACAGTACAGATCCATCATCACTGCTCTCAGATTTACTAACCGAACTTTCATAAAAAATCAGTTACTTCAGAATCACTTTCAGATCCATTTATACTAAAATCAGAATCCAATTCACTATCTGACTCCATAGTGTACAGAATAAAAATATAAGTATATTTTATCACAGAACCGAAACCATGTGCATTCACAATGAGACTAACTAAGTGACTGAGCTAACAATAAAATTACAAAACACATAGCATAAATACATGTTTGACTAGTGCTGACATCTAGTTTAAAATAAACTAACTATCTCTAATTGCATAAAATATAATTCTGTATTGCCATCTGGTGTGTAAAATGAGAAATAAAACTTCCGGGCAAAAGAAATGAACAAGTTTTAATCCTTTTAGCATGTTGCTTTTGAACTCTCCAGCGCAGAAAAACCACGGGCACTAGAAATAGAGGGCGAAACCTCACCCCGCCATTTTGAAGCGAGAAGGAAGTGAAGACAAACTGATTATTTTGCTTTGTAATATTTAGCATCTGTGGTACTAACTATCTCTTTCATGTACCATGATTAACAGCCTATTCTGCATATATGCACAAAAAAATTATTTGCATACTAGCATCTTAACATAGAAAATTATTACATGTGGCCCATATGTCTTTGAAGAATTTTTTTAATACAGTTATTTTATATATATTTTTATGTCATTTTTATCTCCCCTCGTGAAATTTAATATGTGTATGTATGATAAAAAATATATAAAACAAAATTCTAATTTGCAGTAGTTTTTTTTTTTTTTTTAAGACCACAATTTAGTTTGGCTGTTTCTCTTTCCTGTTCTAGACATAATAATGTGTTTGTAATAAACCTCTTCAACCAACTCATTTCAAAATTAATCCTTGTCATTTGATTCTTATACAATGTTAATGATTTGGATACTTGCATAACACTTCAACCAAGAATAATGTTAAAATTTGGAAACTGAACCTGTATTAATCAACAGGAATGAAATCAAACCAGAACTTATCTTTCTAAGTCAAACCTTCAGATTCTGATCCATGCATTTCTTCCCCACTTCTTTGTTCTGCTAACTTGCTGTCATTACTTTTCGTGCTCGCTTAAAATGTGAAAAGTAGAAAAATTTATTAAAGAATGGGTGCATATCTTGTGTCAACTGTGATGTGTGTGTCTGCATCAGAAATATTTTGTAAACAATGGAAAAGTTATTCAGCAATAATACAAACCCTTAATTGTATTACATACTATAATAAAGAGATAATAATTAAATCAGAAAAGGGGATTTACAGGAAGTATATCAAAATTGAAATAAAAATAATTCAATAAATTAACATAGTAAAATTAACACAACAAATTGTTGAAATCCTTGGTCTTCAACCACCATTTTTAATACAGGCATGTTTCTGTATTATATCTAAATGATTGTGAATTCTTGAAATAATACAAAGAAAGTGCCAAATAAAAAAATTTGTAATAAACCTCTTCAACCAACTCATTTCAAAATTAATCCTTGTCATTTGATTCTTATACAATGTTAATGATTTGGATCTTGCATACACTTCACCAAGAATAATTTAAAATTTGGAAACTGAACCTGTATTAATCAACAGGAATGAAATCAAACCAGAACTTATCTTTCTAAGTCAAACCTTCAGATTCTGATCCATGCATTTCTTCCCCACTTCTTTGTTCTGCTAACTTGCTGTCATTACTTTTCGTGCTCGCTTAAAATGTGAAAAGTAGAAAAATTTATTAAAGAATGGGTGCATATCTTGTGTCAACTGTGATGTGTGTGTCTGCATCAGAAATATTTTGTAAACAATGGAAAAGTTATTCAGCAATAATACAAACCCTTAATTGTATTACATACTATAATAAAGAGATAATAATTAAATCAGAAAAGGGGATTTACAGGAAGTATATCAAAATTGAAATAAAAATAATTCAATAAATTAACATAGTAAAATTAACACAACAAACTGTTGAAATCCTTGGTCTTCAACCACCATTTTTAATACAGGCATGTTTCTGTATTATATCTAAATGATTGTGAATTCTTGAAATAATACAAAGAAAGTGCCAAATAAAAAAGTAATTATCAAACTTCATTAAAAGTGCAATAAGGTATTTTTTAAATTTTTAATTAATCATGAAGATATAATCTGCTATGATGTAAAACAAAAGAATACTGTAAAAAATAAAGAGTAAGAATTTTTGAAGCAAGAAACCAGAATCATTGGATAATTAAAAGCAATGCTAAATTCATTTAAATAAATTTCAAATCAAATAAAGTGTAAAATTATTTAAAAATTTGTAAATCAAAAGCATTGCATATCAAAAGTAAATATACTTCAAAACTTTTTGAGGAAGCAAATTTATTTTAGAAATAATCTAAAAATAAGAGGTTTTCATAATTTATGCAGAAAAGTTTCCAAATTGAAGGGAAAATTATATATATAAAAGAATTGCCCAAAAAGGTTTGTTAAGGTTTTTTACACTCTTGCTGTAAATATATGCTGTTGCACTCACTCCTAGACTTTTTTTTTAGCTTTATTATTAAGCATAATTTTCTTCACACTTATGCCATTTACAATTCAACAGCAAAATTACAAAAATTTTAAAAGCAGTATACGTTTAGAATTCCCGATGCAGCATTAAGTGTTGGTATAAGTTTTTCTGTATTTTTGTCTTTTCTCAGTTCATCTTATCAAAATTCAGTTTCTTACTAAGATGGCTTCGTAAAACTATTTTATTGTCTTTTTATTATTAATGTTTTGTGTTTTAGTTTATTTATTAAATATCAGTGGCTGTATTTATGTGGCATACACAACATAAAATCCGTTTCAACAGTAAAATTACAAAATATTTAAAAGCAGCATATCTTCAGAATTTCCGATAGACAAGCTCGCAATACTGTAGATAAAAATGTCTTATTCTGTGCAGTGTTACCACTTCTCCCATTGATATCTTTAAGCTTGTTAATAAAAAATTCAGTAACTTTTTCTAGTAAAGTTCAGTAAAGTAAATATGAGAAAGACAATAAAAGAAATTCAAAGTTCGCTCTTCCAGGCACTTATGCTTGAGTGGAGGACTACGTTAATCAAAATTTGAAAGCTGTATGGACAGTTGTTTTTGTGACAATGCATACATTCATGGAGATTCCTTATTATTCAATTTCTTTAAATATAATGCAGGATGATATTTGGTGGTAACAAACTGAAAAGAGATATGCCGTTTTTAGTGGTTTAATGCAAAATGCTATTTCAAGACAAAATATCCCATTAGGGACAATATCCCTTTTGGGCTGTCTTTCTCTCTCTCTATATATATATATAGCTTTAAAAATAAAATATTATTTGTGCATTTATTTCTAAAGCAATTTATTTCATTCTTAATTTAGGTGGCATGGAGAAAGCTTGAAGATGGTCCTTCATAAAATTATTATCTCAAAAACTGAATTCAATGTTTTACAAATTCATTATGAAGATATATATATATAATATGCAAAAAAAATGTTTCACAGGTTTACTTTATACTTTTGCAATTTTATCCCATTATCCAAATCTTCACTGTCTATTTATTACCATTGTTTTGTAAAACATTTTCCGTTTTTATTCTGTAGTAATTCAAACAGGAATGCAAAATACTGTATAAAATATAATAATTTTGGTTGAGTACAGCATATCATGAACAGCTATGGAAAACTCTGTTCTGGACGGTTTTAGAAATATAAGCTTGTAAAGATAAGAAAGATCAGCTTGATGTAAAATTATATAATATACTGTAATTATTGTCATATTTCTCATAATTTTACTATCATACTGTATGTAACATGTTTAATATTTATTTTAAATATTTTTTCATTAAATATACATACTGTATTATCTTATTGCTGAATAAAATATTTTAAGAATTATTAACTATTAATTGAATATACCTTTTTCTTATTAAATGTTACACATGTATATAATTTACAACAAATACTATATTTACTCATGCATTTCCCTCCTTGACATTTTACAGTATGGTTTAGAAAATTTTCATCTGTTCACATACAGTCACTCCCGACATAGAGAAGTAATAAGAAAATGACATGTTCACATTTAAAATAATGGTTAATCTAAAAGCAGTTCAAAAATCAAGCAAAGGGAAATAATTCTAACAAAATAATCCTTTATAAAGACATTAAAATTATTTTTAAAAATCTGAAAGGTTTGAGATTTTAACTATTGTTTAGAAGGGGTCTTAAAGTTTAGTATGGTTTATCAGTAGAGATGTCCCATGTGGAATAGTGAAACATTTTATAGGATGCTAGAAAGATATACATTTAGACCGATAAGGGAATGTTCTACATCTTCTGTATATTCGAAAAGTGAAAAAAAAATACATAATGTCATTTAAATATATTTCATGTTTTTAATTAGATATATCATAAATGAGATGCATTTTTATAGAAATCAATACAATTGAAATGTAAAAAAAAAAATAATATTCTTAAGAACTACATATATTGCTTTTCAATAACTTTGTTAATAACTGAAATAGTTGAGTAAATTGTGGAATGATGCATTTACATACTTAAAATGAATCACCATAAAAACATGTTTCGAGACTAATAACCCATGCTATAATTGGCAGAAAAATATTATTAACAATTTATCTGTATTTTCAAGCATTTTAATCTACAGAATAAGTTTAATTAATTTCTTATTAAACTAATATTTCCGGGTCCGTATGCTCTAAAGAGTCCTTAAAAGAGCTTAGAGTTTTTGGAATTGATTTTTGGTCCTTAAAAGTCCTTAATTTGGGCCAAAATTGACAGAAGGTCCTAAATTTTAATCATTTCAAATTTCTGTTTTTACGACTGCCATTTTGAGTGTGAAAGCATTTCGAAATTATTTCATTTTTTCTAATGAAGAGCTCTTAAACAAATTTTCGCTTTGGGGATGTGAATGTTTTTATTAAACAGTTCTAAACTTGACAAATTATCAACATTTTGGCAATTTTAAGATCAGTCTCTACAGAAAATATCTTCTTTCTAATTTTTTCATGGTGTGCGTTTTCCCCATATAATTGTCTCGGAATATTCAGAATATGCATCAGTTTTATGTATAAAATTAAGTTAAAATATTTTTGCTGTTACAGAATCAGCAGGGATAATTTTTCTTTAGGAGTTTAGACATTGCATCTTGGAAAGTTTAGAAGGATTTGAAGACAAGATTCATAGACCCATCATCTGAGAAGATTAATGAAAAATGTCATTGTGGTATTAACACACAATGGATGTATGTTACAGAAAGTTTGTGATGAATTTCTTACTTTTTAGAGAATTTTTGGAAGAACAATGAAAACATAATATTTGAATGATGCATTTTTGATAGAAAAAGCCTTTTTCTTAACATGCGTATCTTCCCTTTATATTCTCCACTTTTCGTTAGACACAATCATGGAAAATATAAAAAGTGCTTCTAATTGTATCACATAGACAGGCATTTATAGAAATTAATTTTTCTATTAATAAAGAAATTGAAAACTAACAATATAAAAGATTAATCTTATATGTCTCAATGCATTATACACAGGGTTGGCACTAGACATTTTCCCACCTGATGCAGTCCCAGTGGATCGTAAATTCTGCATCCTGTGCCTGTCCTAAACTTTAAAAGTTTTGTTATTTCTAGATATTGTTGCTCAGTGTGTCACTAAATTCTAAAAATTCTGCTACACCAACTCTGTAACCGTCCCTTGCCATACATCATTTCATATTTATTCTGAATGTTCATATTGCTAAAAGAAATAAAATTAGCAGCTTTTCTATACAAAATGTATTTAGTTTTTTAGATAACTGAAATCTATTAAATGCAAAAATTCTAAAATGAAGAGGAAAGGTATTGATAGAAATTGAATACCTAAAGAGAAGGAAAATTATTCTTCAAAGATACGTACAGCTATTATTATGTGAATTAACCAGTTTTTTACTATAACTCCCTCTTTCCTTTACGTGAATGCAAATCAATTAGTATTTAAATTGAGATATCTGGACTGTAAGACAGCTTGTTTCTGGCCTTTGCTTGCACGCTGCATTAATTCTTGACACCTCTGGTAATTTGTAATTATTTGGCTTTGAGTTAGTGCTGCCAACATTTGTATTTCTTCTGACGATAGAGTTACTGAGCCAGCTTATTATTAAAATTAAATCATGTAGTCTTTGGTTATCATTCCATGTTTTTAATTTGAATTTTTCTGTTGTCTATTTAGTACACAAGCTGTATTTGATTTTTTTAACATAAGAACCTGCATTTACGTTTATTTAAACCTTTATCTGACTTTGTAGTTTCTTTCAGACATGGCAATAATTTTCTTCACTTCTCTCAGGAGTTTTGGACTATTTAACTTTTACCAGATCAAGTAAAACCTTGTCAAAACATAAATGTTTTGTACCTTTTAATGTGTATTTATCCTAATATCGTTTAAGAATCAAAGTCATAAATTACATGTATTTTAAACTGTAAAATGTTATTAGATTGTGATTTGAATAGTGCTTTTTTAACAAATATTTTTAAAAATAAATTTAATTAAATAGTGGCCATATGAATCTAAAATGACTAAGGGTATCAAACTACCTAATTTAATTATTTGTAACCAACCGCTAACCCTTAAAAGCTATCTCTGCATATTAAAGTGAGTTATTGCTTTTCATTAATTCTTACCACGGTAAAAAGATACAGCACAAATATGTAAAAATTAATGTAAAACTTATTCTTTGCATCTAGTGAGATTTAAAATATAACAATTTATCACCTCTCTTGTGCTTTAGTGTCTTCTTGGAACTTTTAAAGTACAGGGTTATCCAAATTAAACTTCCCCAACTCAGAGGCCTGTGCAGAGTGTTGTATGGGTCATAATGTGATGAAATTTTAAAAACAGACACTTCAGATCATGCGCTCGAGATTTATTACACACAAAAAAAATTAGTACAAGAAGTTGCCGATAGGTGGCGCTGTAACACTAGTAATGTGCATATTGCAGCAACGTGATTTGCAGAAATAAAGCTTCTGCGCAACGTATCCAAAAGACGAGCCCTACAAAAGTGGAAGACAGGCCTTGCACAGGCAGTTGTTTCCAGCTCGCTGATGCACAATGGCGACTTTGAAAGACAAAGCTCTGTTAGTGAAACTTTTCTACCAGAATGACGAGAACTCCTGTGCTGCGATAAGAGCATTCCGTCGGCTGAAGATCTTACGCCGAGGACCAATGACACCACGCGCTCTACGAGACATGATGAAGAAGTTCGAAAGAACGGGACAGCTGGGAATTTTACCAGGTAGAGGACGACAGGTTGTGGAATCTGCACGCGTAGAAGACGTTGCTTTGGCGGTCGTGGACCCCACTAGCCAATCGCCACATGGTGTTGTCAGTGTGCCAACTGTTTCTCGTGCTGTTGATATGCCCTATACGACCATCTGGCGTGTGATGCGTCGAATCCTCGGTTATTTTCCTTACAAAATCCATAGTCGTCATCAGCTGTCCGACGGGGATCCTGTAGTTCGGGAAACATTTGCGTTGCAGTTCCTTGCCAGAATGGAAGTCGATGCTGCTTGGCCGTGGAACATCCTTTGGACGGATGAGGCCCATTTTCACCTGAATGGTCAAGTGAATACGCACAACTGCCGCATTTGGGCAAGTGAAAACCCGTGCGCAATCCATCAAGTGCCCTTGAACCCTACAAAGGTTACTGTATGGTGTGGTTTCACTGCAATTCATCATTGGGCCTTATTTTTTTGAAGAGGATCAGGTCTACCGAGAACACCCAGCAACCTTGGCACATCTGAAAGACGCAATTATTCGACATATTCGTGGAATTAATGTGGACTTACTGCGTTCCGCTGTGGAACACACTGCTTTGCAAATGGAAAGAGTTGTGGAGAACCACGGCACACATATAGAACATCTGTCGAATGTCTTGTTGATCTGCAGTGCCACCTATCGGCAACTTCTTGTACTAATTTTTTTTGTTTAATAAATCTCGAGTGCATGATCTGAAGTGTCTGTTTTTAAAATTTTATCACATTATGACTCATATAACACTCTGCACAGGCCTCTGAGTTGGGGAAATTTAATTTGGATAACCCTGTATATTAACTGGTTTACAACTCCGGGATTTCTACATAAAGCTATGACACTATCTGTTAAGTCCCTCTGAAACCAGATGGCGCTGCCATCGTTACTGTTTACAAAACGAATGTTAATTACTTGGGAGTTGGCTTCAATGGCGAAGCAGAGAGTGATTGTGGGAGCCTGAGCGTCTTCCAAGAATTAGTATAATAAAGCTAAAGATATGTTACAGAGTAGTTTGTTAATTAGTTTAATTGAGAGTTACAGTCCACTTAAAAATCGCCGGACCATTTGAGTGGTCCAGTAGAGCCGCAGGGATATCAGCTAAATAAATAATCTAGTGTAAAACAGTGAGTTTGCCATTTTGTTTCAATGGAATTTGTGTTTGTGGATTATAGCCAGTTTCTGAAAGAAAGGGGTAAGTAAAAACCCTTGAACTCTATCATTATTAACTGTTCATTTAGTAAATTCTGAATTAAATTTGTGTGATAATTGTTATGATAAGTGTAGCGAAAATGGCTACGAAACTGAAAGATGTCTCACTAAAAGAGAACTCAAAAAACTATCTTATCGAAGTTGCAAAAGAAACTTTGTGAGCCAGATTAAGTGTTATGATTTAGAATTGTTAAAAACAAATTTACATCTCAATGAATCGATAATGTTTTTGATTCTATTATCAATTTAAGTAGTGAAAATATCGAAAAAATCTTCATGAGCAAGATGAAATTAATAGTAGTATTATTGATATAGAATTTGAAATAAATAATAGATTGTCGAACGTTGTTAAAGAAATAAAGTAGAAAATCAGTAATT